CCCGCTGATTGCGAGTCGAGCGCCCTAACCACCTGGCCATGCCGGGCCCCTAGAGAGAGGGGAAGCCAGCTAATAGCAACCAAATCTGAGTATTGGGCTTCATTAACCGAATATTGGTATTCGACTGTTTGTTTTATAAAACATCCAAAACTCCAAAGTTTGGAGTGTAATTTTGCGGCCATGGAACTCGAACTCCGGATACGCTGACCACTGGGCGACGACCTGTCCTTGATTGACTGCTTAATCGTATCGTATTCAAAATATTTGAAACAAAAATTTGACAAGTTCGTTAATTCACGTGTGCATGTTATATTATTATTTGTAAGAAGACGCTAAATAAAAAAAACAAAAAAAAACGTGAATCTAACCGTTAGGTTCACATCTGCCTGTTTTTATTTATGTAAATTGTGATCTACAGCTTCACAAATTATAAATGTCAGCTAATTGTGTTACACCCAGGTCTTGAGAATCGAACTTATGACCTATCGTGTGTTACACCCAGGTCTTGGAAATCGAAATTGTGACCTATTGTGGTACACCCATGTCTTGAGAATTGAACTTGTGATATACTGTGTTACACTCAAGTCTGGAGAATCGAATTTGTGATATACTGTGTTACACTCAAGTCTGGAGAATCGAATTTGTGATATACCGTGTTACACCCAAGTCTTTAGAATCGAACTTGTGACCTACTGTGTTACACCCAGATCTTGAGAGTCGAACTTGTGAGTAATTTGTTACAATTACAACCAGGTGTTGAGAATTGAACGTTCGATCTATTTTGTTAAACCCAGGTGTGGAGAATCGAATTTGTGATCAGCTGTCTTACACCCAAGTCTTGAGAATCGAACTTGTGATCTACTGTGATACTCCAAGGTCTTGAGAATCGAACTTGTGATCTACTGTGATACTCCCAGGTCTTGAGAATCGAACTTGTGATCTACTGTGATACTCCCAGGTCTTGAGAATCGAACTTGTGATCTACTGTGATACTCCCAGGTCTTGAGAATCGAACTTGTAGGTACTTTATAAGAGTGATCGTCAAATCCCACTATTCGGTCTGACAAGGGAAGTCCTAGATGTTCACCAGTTAACTACCTTTCCTGCAGTCAGTCAGTGCCTGATTAGGGACATCTAATGCAGAAACCCTCGTGTAGTTTCGCGAGAAGTCCAATAAAACAAATTTTCCCGCCTAATGTAAGACTTCGGTTTTCTGGTTTACTGTTTTGTATCTAACAATATGCCACATATTATTTGTATTCTTATGATTTTATAGGTTGTAGATTTGACAAAATGAGATCTTTCCGTTTTCTACCTAACAATATGTCACATATTATTTGTGTTTTTATGATTTTATGGGTTAAATATTTTACGTCATAAGAACGCTCCATTTTGCACCTTACAATAAGTCACATATTATTTGTGTTTTTATGATTTTATGGGTTAAATATTTGACATCAGATCTCTCTGTTTTGTACGTAACAATATGTTACATATTATTCGTATTCTTATGATTTTATGGGTTATAGATTTGACAAGATGAGATCTGTCCGTTTTACTGTTTTTTTACTTAGCAATATGTTACATGCTATTTGTGTTATTATTTTACGCGTTATAGATTTGACAACATGAGGTCTCTCTGTTTTACTGTTTTTTACCTAAAATTATGTCACATATTATTTGTGTTCTTATTATTTTCTGGGTTACAGATTTGACAAAATGAAATCTCTATATTTTGTACCTAACAATATATCACACATCATTACTATTCTTATGATTTTATGGGTTATTGATCTGACAACATCAGATCTCTCCGTTTTACTGTTTTTGTACCTAACAATATGTTACATACTATTACTATTCTTATGATTTTATGGGTTATTGATCTGACAACTTCAGATCTCTCCGTTTTACTGTTTTTGTACTTAACAATATATTATATACTATTACTATTCTTATGATTTTATGGGTTATTGATCTGACAACTTCAGATCTCTCCGTTTTACTGTTTTTGTACCTAACAATATGTTACATACTATTACTATTCTTATGATTTTATGGGTTATT